ATGCTTATCTTTTAAGTGAATGTTACTCACTTGGTTTCTATGTGTTTAGAAAGAAGACCAAGAGACAAGCATTTTTATCATTTAACAAAGAGTGTGAGAATGAGAAAGCTACTGTTGAGAGAGGTATCTACCTAGAATTGAAATAAAATTGAAACCTGTGATTCATATCCTGCAGTCTTTATTTAAGCAATACCACAGGAATGCTTATCTTTTAAGTGAATGTTACTCACTTGGTTTCTATGTGTTTAGAAAGAAGACCAAGAGACAAGCATTTTTATCATTTAACAAAGAGTGTGAGAATGAGAAAGCTACTGTTGAGAGAGGTATCTACCTAGAATTGAAATAAAATTGAAACCTGTGATTCATATCCTGCAGTCTTTATTTAAGCAATACCACAGGACTTTCACACGGTAGGAAAACTAGCTGTGGGAAATTAAAATAATTCTGAGCGCTGAAATGACTTTTCATAATGTGCATAATGAGAAACACTGGGAACTCTTAAGCAGCAAACAAGTCTGTTTGCTTTATAAGATAAGGCATAAAGTGTAAATAAAGCCCAGTAAGATGTGGCTTTGTATCTCTTAAAATACCACATGAAAAACAGTGGCAGCTGGTACCCAAATGAAAATGCATCTAATACAGCCATCTAAAACATATGGAATGTACTAATGAATGTAAATACATTGTAATGAAAAATCATTCTAACACAGAGCTAGGCAAATAATTTGCAGAATATTTTTGTGTGCACTATTTACTTAGCTGTGCTACAACGGCAATAAGTAAAACCACATAGAACAGAGGCTAGGCAGAACAATCTCTCTCTAAGATATTCAATTTAAGTATATGCCCCAAAAAAACCATCTCATTTTCCTTTTGATAACCCAACACTGACATATTTCATGTATGCCCTAATGGGAGCTAGCTTGGGACTTCCACATGAGAAGGAAACCCAAACGGCAGAACATCTGTGAAAAGCTGGCATTGATTAGTGGTATATTTGTGAATGTGATGCGAAATGAAACTTCTTCTAAGATGGCTAAATTCCATATTTGGCAGTACAATGAGCTTAAACAAAGAGTCACAAAAAGTACACAATACTAAAGGGAATATCATCACCAAATGGAGAGGCAGGCAGACGGACAGGAAGAATATTGTTCAAGATTCCTACTTGAAACAAAGAACAAATTCTTAAATCCATTTAAGTTTCCTGAATGTTATTCTCATGTTGCTTCTTTTTCCTCTCATTTTTCTGATCATCATCCCTGTCTTGTTGATTTTACATGACCAAACTGAAATAGCAAGTTTGATGCGTTTAGAGGGATGCCTCTCTCTCACACACATTGGGCAAGTCAGGAGTACATCTACTGAAGCTAACTGACTTACACCAGGATAAAATTTCATGAGACCAGAATCAGGATACTCCAAGTGGGACCTGGAACAGAACTTCTCCAAAGATCAAATCCCACCTTTTCTAAAGGCAAGGGCACTACCAATCACAGCCCGCCCCCTCTGCAAAAATATTTTTAACAATTTTAAGGAACATAACGAAAGAACAGCCATACTGGGTACGGCTACACTACACAAGTTTTCCGGGATACCGAAGAACTGTTCCGCATCCAGGGAACGCCTTTGCTCCTCTGCTTTTTTTGAAGAAGAGCAAACGTGCTCTTTTGGAAGCCCCTGTATTCCTTGTTCCCCGAGGAATAAGGGGGCTTTTGAAAGAGGGTTTTTTCCCCCAACATTTGGCCCAGTCTAGACAGACCAAATATTGGAAAAGCCTCTTCCAACAAAAGAATCGAAAAAAGCAGCACTATAGCCGTACCCACTGGGTTAGACCAAAGGTCCATTCAGCCCAGTATGCTGTCTTCCAACAGTGACCAATGCCAGGTGCCCCAGAGGGAATGAACAGAAGGGTAATCATCAAGTGATCTCTTTCCTGTCATCCTTTTCCAGACAAACAAAGGCTAGGGACACTATTCTTACCCATCCTAGCTAATAGCCATTGATGGACTTACTCTACATGAATTTATCTAGTTCTTTTCTGAACCATGTTGAAGTCCTGATCTTTACAACATCCTCTGGCAAGGAGTTCCACAGGTTGACTGTATGTTATGTGAAGAAATACTTCTTTTTTCTGTTTTAAATCTTCTACCTATTAATTTCATTTGGTGACCTCTAACTCTTGTGTTAAGGGAACAAGTAAATAACTTTTCCTTATTTACCCTCTCTCACACCAGTCATGCTTTTATAGACCTTAATTATATCTCCCTCTAGTCTCCTCTTTTCTAAGATGAAAATCACAGTTTTATTAATCTCTCTTAATATGGCAGCTGTTCCAAACCCCTGATCATTTTTGTTGTACTTTTCTGAATTTTTCTAATTTCAAGATACCATTTTTTAGGGGAGGCGATCACATCTGCATGCAGTATTCAAGATATGGACGTGCCATGGATTTATATAAAGGCAATAAAATATTCTCCATCTTATTCTTTATCCCTTTTTAATTATTCCTAACATTCTGTTTGTTTTCTTGAGCTGCACAGAGTGGATGTTTTCAGAGAACTATCCACAATGACTCCAAGTTCTCTCTCTTGAATGATAATAGCTAATTTAGTCCTCATCATTGTGGCATTATGTTTTCCAAATTGTATTTCTTTGCATTTATCAACATTAAAATTCATTTGCCATTTTGGTGCCCAGTCACCTAGTTTTGGGAGACCATTTCGAAGTTCTTCACAGTCTGCCTTGGGCTTAACTATCTTGAGCAGTTTAGTATCATTTGCAAATTTTGCCTCCTCTCTGTTTTGCCCCATTCTCCAAATCATTTGTGAATATGCTGAATAGGACAGGTCCCAGTACAGACCCCTGCAGCACATCACTAGTTATCTCTCTCTATTCTGATCACTGATCATTTATTCCTACCCTTTGTTTCCTGTCTTTTAACCTGTTATCAATCCACGAGAGGACCTTCCCTCTTATCCCATGACTCTGCTCTCAGAAATTACACAAACCCATGTTCACACTGTCCATGTCCAGTTACTTCATTTTTTCAAGGCCTCTCCTGTTAATATTTATTCACTTTTTAGCCCTGCCCTCAAATCATTATTCACTTTTTGAATCTGCCCTTGAGCAATGCCCTTCACTTAAGCCATCCTAAATAGCATGACTGAAATGTTTGAGAATGAAGACGTTCCAACCGTCAAAGCACATGGCCCAGATTCTTTAAAAGATGATGCTTAATGGGCACTGACTTGCCCTGGAGGCAGCGTGGAGTC